GACATACATGGTTTCGATGCCAAGAACTGTTCTTTCATGGTGTCCCAGCAGCACCTCGGCGCAGCCGCCGGCGCGACATGGCCCTTTCTTCCAGTATCTTGAACCCTTGAAGCTTAGATTTCTTGATTGGTTGAAACACAAGCGTGGGGATGATGGTCGCCCCACTGCTGCCCAATGGTGGCCATATTTCGACACCTGATCTTGACCCATGCGCTCGCCCTATGAAATGTTATGCGCTTGCTGTTTTCGATTGGGATCACGTTAGTACGGATATTATACAAGCGGAGGTGGGCTGGGATCAGTGGGAAAAAGAAATTGAGGAGAGGGGAGTTGTTATTCCAACGTTGCAAATATTAATTGACAACTCTGGAGCGGCGAACCATGCGTCCGCATTCACTACTATTGGAGATATTGATTTTCAATGTGTTGCTGATCTTTCATCGCCAGCCACGCCGTAGCGATGATGCAATTTTATTACGTTCAATGAAGGCTGGGATGTCGCATGGTGTTTCCAACGTATTCATCGCACAGCGACATAACATGACTCTTGCAGATAGGGACTTACATGTCTGGCTTGATTTGACTTCCATTTCTGATTATGGCTGGTAATAAACATGACAACAACACATATGAGAGGTCAGAGGCCATCAAAGTTGCTACATAGTTTGTTGTGCAATACATAACGATTGACCCAAACGCGAGGCAGCTGGATTCGGACGTGATTCGTGAAGCGCCTCCAGGCTTAGGAAAGCTCATAGATCAGATTTGGGATCCGCCGTTCAACCGTGTCCCCGTCCATGGAAGATGGGGAAGGGTTCTTTTTGCTGTACGCGAGATGCTATTTTTATTCATGGTTGCGGGAATGTATTGCGTTTCCCGGGTATGAAGTACAGCGTACTCCGATATCTGATCAATCAATGGGGGATGTTTCTGTTCTGGGTTGCCGAATCCGATCAGCAATCGAAGCATCCGATTTACTTGATAACTGGCTTGAAGGTCTTGGAACTGAGGTTTCCAAAACCGCACGAGATAATTGTTCCAGTATTCATGAAACCATTGTCTCCATTAGCGCGTTGACGGATCAAGCGCAAAGTGTCGAAATGTGTTTCGCTACTGGCCTTTTCGGAGGTTTCCATGCCGATAACGCCATCGAAATCATTTATCATCTTAGCAAGACGAGGTTGGAAAACGGCACAGCCGAGTCTCCCGCTGAGACGGTTCAGGCTGAGTCACCAGCGGGTGGCCCGGCTTCAGTTGCTGACAATATTGCCTTGCAGCGAACTAGGCGACGTTCTCGGCCACCTCCAAGACCGCGAATGTCGCATGGGAAGCCGTCTTATCGCGCTGCTCCCTACCCGTCAGCTTCTGCCGGCACAGCCGCGTCAGGCCACGAGACTGGATGGATTGATTCGGACAGTTCGATCCTGGGCGGATGAGTCCAGGACTGAGACATATAGACCACAAGCACCGGCAGTTATGCCGGGTGCTGGATCTTCCCGCGACGGCCGCGGCGCCGGGCCGCCCATGGTCGGCATCTACGACGCGACCGTCGACTACGAAGACAGAAGTGAACTGGAGAGATTATTGGACATTCTGTTCATTTTTCTCGACATCCGCCAGTTACTGGCCACGGCAAAACGTGGCAATTGTTTAGTCTTGATGAGCGCAATGAGAAGTTCCGCCCATCTTCGGGGCCATCGAGAAATTTGCGGGCGCGCACGCCTCCACCTGCGCCGAAGGCGAGTTCGTCGGAGAAGGGCCGGGGCAATAATGATCAATATGAATGGAGCCCGTCAAGTGACTGGAGCGCAAGCAGAGAATGGCAATGAGAGGATTCTTGGGAGTCAAAAGGCCGCTGGAGAAGGTGAAGATGAAGACGGTTGGATCCTGCGCGACGCAGTCGATGCTGGACCGCGCTTCGTGGAGCGGATGCACCCAGTGTGCAAGGGCATTGAGACCTGAGCTGAGAATTTAACTCAGGCGGGAAACGCCGGGCTTCTCTGGCCTTCCGCCCCCAGGAACCCACCATCGAGCGGTGCAACTTTTCTTTTGGGGTTCGCTCTGGTGGTTGTACATATGTACAGGCCTGGCGGGTTGGGGGTCGGGGCGGCTCTACGTGTCCCGCCGCGGGGGGAGTCAATGCACCCCTCCGCACCACCAGGTTCCTGCCCTTCTCACCCATCCTGCTTGCTTCCCACTGTCTGTTCCTTGCCTTGACATTCTGTGTTCCGCAGCTGTGTTATCGTCAATTGACGGTTCAGGTGTCGCGGAAGAGGAGCGCGCCCGCGCGCGGCGGCCGGCGGGCCGGCCTCCTCCCTTCAGTGTTATATCTGATGCATGCTTAACGACATTATCCTTTCTTGTCCATGTCTTCTGTGAAGCCCATTGACTATGGGACGCCATCGGAACATATTGCAGGGACGACGAATATCCAGGCACGAGACTTCCGGACAACTGGGCGCCGCGCCCGTCCTGGAGGGTTGGGGGGCAGCCTTTCGGGCTCCATGTGGCTTCTGCCAGTGCAGGAACTCGCGCAGCTTCGCCTCGCCCACACGCACGACGCGAACCGAAACCGAAACCGATCTCCCCGGGGCCACTTCCGCTCACACCCCCCAACCTCCGATCCCAACTTCGACCTCCAAAGGTCTTGCGTCCATGCCACCCATCCTTTATGCAGGTTTCGGCTGTGCGGTAAGTTCGGCCCGCTGCCAGCATTCAACATGGAACGCCGCTGGCGGTTCAGAATCGGTCCATGTTGAACAATCCGACGTTTCGGACACGGCCGATCGTTCAACGTGGAACGATCCCCGCGGTGTCAGAACCGCGCCGGGACCACGCCAGGACCGCGCCAGGGCCGCGCTGGGACCGCGCAAGGACCAGGAACCAACGCCCGGGTCAGCACGACACGGACCTGCCGCAGCTCCTCTGGCAGCGCGGCGGCTCGCATGCCCGAGGCCGACCTTTTGGCTCGAGGGCGCGTGCCCGCCCACGGCTATTTGTGTGCCCCTCGCGGCGCGGAAGGCGGCGCCAGTGCGCACCGTGGCCGCGCCGCGGCCAGGGGCAGCGGCAATTCTTGGCGGCGCGCACACGGGGGTAGTGTTAAGCTGGGCATGCGCACTGCAGATGGAATGTTCGAGAATGGTTAGAAGCAGTCCGGGAACGATTTGTCGCGCTCTTTTGACCACTTTTGAATGTGTTCTGACGCTTCGTAAGTTTCTTCGATAATCCGCTTGCTAGGAGGACATGCCCAATCTAAGGGTACGGGGAGGAGGAAGTGTTCTTAGAACCCCCCCTGCTTCCTAGAATCGAAAAGCAAACAACGGCATAGACATAAACTGTTGGCGGTCCTCGCGGATTTCTTGGATCTGCGCTGGGGCCCCTAGGCGGCGCCTCCAGCGCCGCCCCTGTCGCGTTCCGCGCGCCATGGAGGGGGTCCATCTCAAATCCAAGAAACCCGCGCGGACCGTCAAAAGTTTATGTTTATGCCGTCGTGCGTTCCTCTACAGAAGGCGTGGGCCTTGTCCCTAGAGGCAAGGCCCGCGCCTTCCAGGAAGCAGGGGTGCTTCTAAGAAGCCTCCCCCCCCGCCTACCTCCCTTGTGCGCGCCGCCACAGTTCGGGTGTTGCTAGAATCGGAAACGGGAACATATACATTACCAGTAGCGGGCTGTTTTTCAATCCCAGGACTTTTTCAGGGTCGGGGGCGACGTCGGGGTGGTGCGGTGTATACATAGTTTTCCGCTGCCTGGGGAAACACCAACACATGTATACACCATAATCCCGTATACACCAGGATCAACTTTCCTGTGCAATTGTTGATTCAGCTCGTTTCCCCATACAAGTGTTCCTGTCCCAAGGCACCCCCAGGATTTCCAAGGAGGCCCCCAGGGCCTCCAGAGCGCGCCCAGCTAACTGTAGCAACCCCCGAGCACTGGGCGGGGGGGCGTGGCCCCGGGAAGGGATCGGAGGCGCTGCCGGGGGGGAAGTGAGAGGGGGCGGGCCTTCTCAGAAGGCTCGGGAGGTTTCCGGTTTCCGGCATGGGGCGAGCGAGAAGTTTCCTAGAAGTCTTCCCCGAAGGCAGGGGAAATTGCTCAGAAGGCGCTGAGAAGACCTGTTCCTTCTCACTTTACCCCTGGGCGCGGCGCCGAGAGGAGGCATCGGCCGTGAAGCCGGCTGGGGGTCTGAGGTGGCCCAGCGCTGGTTCCAGCGGCGAGCAGGAAAGGGGAGGCAGCTGCGAGGTTCTGGGTTCGAGCAGGTTTGTACCCCTTTTGCGCCTCCAGTGCCTTTTTCGGGCCGCGGGACCGTCAAAAACGGGTCAATATTAGCGCTGCCCTTCTAGAGTGCCTCGAATCGCCTCTTGGGCCCTTCTGGAGGCCGCTCTTGGAGCCGTCTTGGGCCATCTTGGGGGCCTCTTTGGGGCCTCGTGGGGGTCTCTTGGGAGCCTCTTGGAGGCATCGTGGGGGCCTCTTGGGGCCTCTTGGGGCCCTCTTGGGGCGCTCTTGGGGCGCTCTTGGGAGCCTTCGGGGCGCTCTTGGGCCATCTTGGAAGAGATCTATCAAAGAAGGGGGGGTCGAATATTAGCGCTGCCCCTCTAGAGTGCCTCGAATCGCCTCTTGGGCCCTTCTTGACGCCAAAATCCTTCCAAAACCTAAGGGAAGTCAATGTTTTGTGCTTTTTCGCTTTTTCGCTCTTGGAGCCGTCTTGGGCCATCTTGGACGTCCCAACGACCCGCGGGACCCCTCGTCCAGGTCGGTGGGGAGGGGTAAGGGGAGGGGTAAACCCCTCCCCGAAGGGAAAGAAGGGGGTTGGCAGAGGAAGCGCTCTAGACCACCTACGCCCTAGACAAAAAGACATTCATATAAATTTTGGAGCTCCGCGCGGATTTCTCGGATCGGCGCTGGATCCCCCTCCCTAGCGCGCGGAGCGCGCCAGGGGCGGCGCCGGAGGCGCCGCCAGAGGGGCCCTGCGCCGATCCGAGAAATCCGCGCAGAACTCAGAAAGTTTATGTTTGTGAAGTTTTTGGTCCCTCTAACTTCGGACCCACTGGCCGCCTCGAACATCGGCCCCCTCATCGCCCCGGGCCTAGGCGCACCATAAGGCCCAGGAGCGTGCCTTTGCGCTATCGTTGCCTGTCGCCGATCTATCGGCGATGCGTCGCCGACTCCAGGTCAACTTTCGTCCCCCCCCTCCTGAGCCAGTCCCCACCTTCGTTCCCCCGCATGTGCCGCTGAGCGTGCCGCAGGTACGGGCACTCCGTTGAAGCGCGCGTGAGATTGGGAGGAGGGAGAGTCGAGACAACGGCGGCCCTCCCTGGCTTTTTTTGTCCCTTGTGTTAGGTCGGGCAAGTCCTCCTACAGGCGGATTTTGTATGAAACATCAGAAATAGTTTTAAAAATAATGCTCAAGAATAATAGGATATCGTCCCCATTTTGTGTTTTGACTATTTTTGAAGATTCCTCCTGTAGAGGGACATGCGCGACTTAATCCTTGTGGCCTCCCATGGGGCTTCTGGTCGCCACGGCTGGATCCGCCTCGAGAAATTGCGCAGGATGGGCCCTGCGAGGTGTCCGGTGACCGATTCCAGCGGGTGAGCCGCCGTTGTCTCAATTGGTCCTCTTCCGACGTACGACTTCGATCGTGTTGCTCGCGCGGGCTCTGCAGCATCCCGATGTCCGTGGTCAGGCTCGAGGAGGATGACCTGGACGACGAGGACAGGGCGATTTTGGCCGAGGTGCGGAAGAAGGGCTACTACCACGGCAGGCCGAAGAGCGAGGCGTGCGCCATGCCCGCGAAGATCGAGGTCGCGGCGGCGCCATCCCATGCAGCGGGCTCGCAGAAGGCGCAGAGCCGCGCGCGCTTCGATGACTTCCAGGCAAAGTGGGACCGCTTCGACAACGACGCCTACCTGGGGCAGCTAGAGGCCGCGACGGAGGCCGCAGCGGAGGCCGCGGCGCCCTCCCGGTCCACGCCCTCGGCGGCCAGCGGCGGCGGCCGCGGGCGGCCGCAGCGGCCGCTGGCAACTCAGCCGGCCGCGGAGTTCAAGCTGCTCGTGCTCGGGGACGGGGGCGTGGGGAAGACGGCCCTGGTGCGGAGGCACACGACGGGCGAGTTCGTGGCCAGGTGGTGCCCAACTGGTGCCGCGGAGGTGAGCGCCTTGCGCTTCTGGACGTCCTGTGGCGAGGTCCGGCTGAACGCCTGGGACCTGGGCTGCGCTGCCGCCAGCAAGACTGCGGCAACGCAGCCTTGCTGGCGGCAAGGCTGTGTTCGTGAGCGTGACCTCTCGCAGGGCGAGTGCGCCATCATCATGTTCGACACGATGTCGCGCCAATCTTACAAGAGCCTTCCCTCCTGGCACCGCGAGGTCTCACGCGCGTGCGGCCCCGTCCCCACTGCCGTGGTCGGCAACAAGGCGGACGCGAGAGAGCGCCACATGAAGCCCGAGGATGTCACCTTCCCCAAGAGCCGCGGGCTGCCGCTCTTCAGCATGAGCGTCCGCACTGGGCTCAACGTGGAAAGGCCCTTCCTCTGGCTCCTGCGCCGCCTGACTGGCCAGTCGGAATCCTGCAAAGGGCGTGTGTGCCCCAGGGTGTGTGTATGTGAGAGTTCGATCGTTTTTTTTCCACCGAACCGCCTAGAACAGATGCCCCTCAGCCGCCAGCAGCTCCCGGTAGCTGCCGATAGGCACCAAGCTTTTTTTGCGGATGTGCTTAAACCCTGTGTCTTCACAGGTTTGGGTTCTCCGATGAGCGAAAAACGCATGAAAATATATGCTTTCGCAGCTTTTTGTTCCCAGGTTTTCTTAGGATGTCCTTGGCGTTTTTTGTTTTGTTGCATTTCTCGTTTTTTTTTCGCGCGCCTGCCCCAGGCGACGGGCGGGCTGACGCGTCGCCAGCCGCCAGCAGGCGAAAATGCAAAACATACGAAAAACGCAACAAAAAGCAGAAACGCTAAGGACATCCTGAGAAAGCCACGCGAAACAGCTGCGAAAACATTTGTTGTCTTAGGTTTCGCACTCATCGGAAGCCCAAAACTTGTGAAAACACCATGTGTTTTTAAGCGGATGTGTTTAAACCCTGAGTTTTCCCATGGTTTTGGGTCTCCGATGAGCGAACACATGTGAAAACACATGTTTTTATTTTTTGTTGCACGGTTTCTTTAGGATGTCCTTCGCGTTTTTCTTTGGTTTGTTTTGTTTTTGCATTTCTCGCCTTTTGTGTTTTTTCGCGTGCCTGCCCCAGGCGACGGGAGAGCTGGCCCTCGCGAGTGAAAATGAGATATACAGAGGGAGAGAGAGAGAGAGAAAGCGAGAAGAAACGTTAAGAGATGAACAGATCGAGACAAACAATCAAACGAACTCCAATAGAAAGTACCTCCACCAAAACGGTCCCCAAATGGTCCCACATTTCCCCATTACTCCCCCCCTCCCTGCAGAGCGAAGCCGGAGCGAGCTCAAGCCCACGATCTCAGGAAATCACACGCCGGATCAGCGGATTTATTTGTGTGCCTGGGCCCCTTCAGCACCAGCGGATCGAACTCATGCCCCCCCTCAAGGTCACCCCCCCCCTTTGATGGATCCCGAGCCAGCCCCAGCTGCGTTTCGTCGGGCCTCGCGCGGAAGCCCCGGAGGACCCCGTGGACGAGGCGCTGTTCGAGCTCCACGCCAGGGCGCTCCGGGATGCCCAGTCGGCACCCATCGACGTGGAGGGCACCGGCCTCTGACGCCTCTCCCAGGCCTTGGGGGTTCCTCCTCGTCTTCCTGCTGCTCTTATTCCTCCTCCAGTCCTCTTCCGTATCAGCAACTTCTCCCTGTCGCAAACCCCAGGCCAGTTTTTAGGGCGGGCCGGGCGTTTCGCTTGAGATTTCCTCATCACTAATGACACTGAAGCTTAAACATTGGCAACAGTTTCACAGATGGAGGGCGGGTGGTTTTCAACATGTGGCTCTCGCTTTAGCGCCGCGCATAGTCTCCTCTAACATTTGCAAGAGCTTCGCGGATTGAGGGCGACCCGCCTTCAAAATGTGGTTCTCGTCTCAGCGCCGCGCACATTCGTTGTAAAAGTTTACAAGGGCTTCACGGATTGAGGGCGACACGTGTTCAAGATGTGGTTCTCGCTTTAGCACCGTGCACATTGGTCTTTGACATTTGCAAGAGCTCCATGGATTGAGGGCGATTCCTTTTCAAAATGTGGTTCCCGCTGTAGCGCTGCGCACATTCGTTTGTATAGTTTTATAAGAGTTGCACGGGATCTTATTATTAGACATGGTGTTTTGGAAGGATTCAAGATTTTGCGGGCGCAATAGTTACGTTGATTCGCGGTGTTGAAGTCCCGGGGATGGCTATCTGGCACGACTCGCAATTGTCAAAACGCAGAACTCAAGTTGATCCGTGGCTTTGGAATCCCGAGAACAATGTTTTGGCATTGTTCAGGGTCTTCAAACAGTTGTCTTCCAACGAGGCAGTCTCCTCGATGCAAATAAACCGTTAGAGGGGCCTATGAAGAGGGAGCTCGGAGGGAGGGTTTATTACAACATCGTTGATGACCCCTGGGTTTACACTGGTCCTCCTCCTCGTCCTCGTCCTCCTCCCCCTCCTCCCTCTCCTCTCCTTCTCCCCTTCCCCTTCCCCTTTTAGCCACACCGAGGGCAGCCACCGGCGCTGGCGCGTATGAAGGAGAGGCGCATACACCGTGAGTAAACACGCTATGTTTTGGTTCTTCCTCCTCCTCCTTCTCATCCTCCTCCTCCTCGTCCTCGTCCTCATCCTCGTCTTCGTCCTCATCTCCTTCCTCCCCTCCTCTTCCATGGGCGAGGCCGCGGGAGTGGTCCACCCCCGTCTCCCTCGTCGTCGTCCTCCTCCTCTTCCTACCCCTCCACTCTCTCCTCATCCACCTCCTCCTCGGTCCTCCCTCCTCCTCCTCCCTCCTCCCTGCTGCCGCGCTGCCAGGACAGCAGCCCCCGACTCCCCAGAGGCGCATGCTCTGCGGCCCGAGGCCGCGCGCCACCCGCGGAGCCACCACCTCCTGCACCACCCCCGGCAGTTCTCGCACGCGCCGGCCTCCTCCTCCTCCTCCTCCTCCTCCTCCTCCTCCTCCTCCTCCTCCTCCTCCTCCTGCTCCTCCTCCTCCTCCTTCTCCTCCTCCTCCTCCTCCTCCTCCTCCTCCTCTCGCGCCCTCCCATCCCGACCCAGCATCGGGGATCGAGGAGCTCCTGGGGCGCCTCGGCGCGTGCCTGGACGCCCCCGGAGGAGGAGGAGTTCGTCGCAACTCCGGGCTCTTCTCACACGCCCCACTACCCCTCTTCTCCGAGCCCCGAATCCCAGAGGAGGAACATGTACCCATACCGCTACCCTTCCCTGGTGTCCCCTTTCTTGGGCCTCCTGGGGGGCCCTCGTCGCCACCGCTGGATTCGCCTCGAAATCCTGGCCAGAGCGCACTCCAGGAGAGGTCTGGGGAGTAGCGGTACCTGTACTTTTTAGTTCCCCAGAATCGTCAGGTCTGGGGGCGGTCAAGGGTAGCTGCAGATTCCCACCTCGGTGGCCCAGACCGGAGCGACCCCAGACCGCAATTATCCTGGGTAGTTCGGGCGTCCAGCCCTCCCAGGTCAGGTCACCAGGGTTTGACGTCCTGTAGCGCCAGACCACATCTTGACGAAGATCTTCCGGCCCTTGAGCTCTGTCTCTGCCAGGGTGATTTTGGTTTTTTGGGCTTCCGCCTTTGTGGAAAAGCAAAACTGCCCGCACCCCATCGATCTCCCGTAGACGTGCCCGTCCTTCGTGAGCACTCTGCGAAATTCCACGGTGCCCGCCTGCTTCGTGTGGCCCCTAAGCTCGCGCCAGTCGACGAAGTAGTCAAGATCCCCCACGTAGAACACGTTCTCCCCACTCCGCAGGTCGTCGCCGCAGCCCTTTGTAGCTGACGACGTTTTTGCACCACTGGTCGCCCCACTGCCCGACCCGCCGCACCGAGCGTGGTTTCTACTGTCGGTTCTTCTCGCACGCGCTGG